AGGCTTTGATACCCGGCCATAGTATCGAATAACTGGGTACGCGGGGTTAGGATAGCTGGACCTGTAGCTTACTTTTATAAGCACAGGTACGTAGACCCTCTAGAGGCTCCAAAGCTTTGTTTCTAATACGGGTCTATACTTCAAGACACGTTCTGTTCTGAATGTAATTTAAAGTATGTGGGAGTTTCCGAAAATTAGGGGTACCTTATTTTGGGGTCCTTATATTAAGGATCCTATTATTTAGGGTACTATATTAGGGTCCCCTATTTTCGGAAACCCCCATGTATGTTCCTTGCTTCAGGGCTTTCGGAGGGAGGCTCTAGGCTTCACCCGAGCCCTCTTTCAGGAGGAGCCCAGCTGGAAGCTGTAACCGTGTCGAGCGTCTGCTACCTGCCATTCAAAACAACAAAAAGCCAAGATTCTCAGGACCTCTACAACCCGCAAACCTGAAGCTCAACTGTCTAAATGTCTACATTCCAAGCCCTGAGCGCTAAAGGCCCCTATAGCCCTAAACGCCTCAGGCCTTACTCCCAGCAGAAGCTGAGCTCCAACAGCTTCCCGAGCCTCCCCTGTTGATGCTCTTAAGCGCGGAACTCCCTTAATTCAGAATTCAGGAATTAAGCCACATTAAATCCGGCTCCCTGGACACCTTGGGCTATTTTCACTAGACAAAGGGTGTGTTGGAGTTTGCGGTGGATTTGGGAATATTTGGGAAACGTCCACTGCTGCATTCCTCGATTGCAGAGGCAGGCAGAGGCTGTCGGACGATCTTGTTGTAATCATCAATGGTTTCACATGTTTCCTATCCAGTCTACGATTCGGAATAGTCGTTGACGTCTTATGAAGCGCCAATCTACAGTCTGACATGCTAAACCCAGAGAACTGAAAACCCTAAGCCCCATGCGCTCCCAGTTCACCTCCGCCGCGCGCCATTTGGCTCGCATGACAGTCAGGAATTCGCTTTTTTCGGGTACTTTCTGCGGGTGTCCTTGGGAACCTGTTCCGCAAGGCGTGCGAACGCCGTTGCACGCCATTGGGCCGCAAGGGCTTTCGGCTTGGATCTATGTAGGGATTCGGTTTGGGATTGATGTGGGTTTCCGGATCTCAGGCTCATATACTTAAAGGATCATGGGACTTAGTAAGTAGGGTTATGATCAGGGTAACTATTCTTATAACCCCAATTAAGGGACTTATAACCTTACTTACTAAGTCCCATGAGCCTCCAAGTAGTAAGGGAATGGATTTCAGGCAGCTGGTTTTTGGTTCTCAGGTTTTGCATCAACAAGCCTGTACTTGAGGCCTAAACAGCGTTTCGCGGTTTTTGACCTACAGCCTGCCTTCAACCCACTGCCTTTCTAGATAGAGTTTTTAATTTCCCCTAAACCCTAAACCCGAGCAGCGGAAGTTGTGGGACCCCAAATCAGGGCTTCACGACTCAATGTGCAGGGACATGTGAGAGACAACAGCCCATAATCTCAGGGTGCAAACAGTTTCTACAACCTCTTCGAAAGAACAGAACATTGTGGCAGGTCTGCAGACGCCTTTCTTCAGGAAGTGGGTGTCGGAATTATTGTCCGGGGTTTTCGGGTCGGGATTCTGGGATGTAGAGTGTTTATGTTGGGGTCGGCCTCCTCGGCTTGGTAAGGTTTCGACTTCCTGGGTTTCGCCGGACATCCGAAAGAGCAGGTCAGGGAATTGTGGCATAGTGGTGTTGCTTGGCTTTTGAGGTTCATTACGACGTCGGACCTTCAAGCAACTCGCGTTCTTCATGCCACATCAAATATAGCGGAGGGCTTTAGGGTTGAGGGGTTTAGGGTTTATCGGAATAGTTAGTTGTTGAAAGGATCCCCAAGTTTTCGCCATGTGTTACATTGCAAGTCTACCCCAACACCCTGTAAGATATGTCAAGGCCCCTATACGATCGTCGATCATACCGCCAGATGCATTTCCGAGGGTCCTAGTAAACCCAGGTTGAGTCAGCTCAAGCAACACTCCCGGAGCGCCGATAGTCACTTTGTCCAAGCTGAAGAACTGCAGAGGGTTACAGCGTAGGGCTCGGACGAAGCCTGTATCAAACATACCCCCATCGCTGTCTCCGTATTGCTATACTACGCGCCCAAAACCCAACTTGAAATTCTCAAGCCTCATAGTATGTCCATGCTTGTACAATTGGAGCCCTTTGTTCTAGTCTTGTTGTTCAGGTCTCGATGCTGACACCCCTAGATCCGTCCAGCCACTCTCACCCAAGCCCAGCCCCCTCTCAAAGACCGATTTCCTCATCAATCCAGTCTCCCTGCGGCCTACAGCCCGTAGGGTTTAAGCCTGAGGGGTCTTAGGTTCACAAGCCGAAATCTAGAATGGTGCCTCAACTTATAGCCGCGAAGGTCAGAAGCCTTTTGCGCCTGGGGGAGATCTACCTATGGACATTTTGCTGCGATTCTTGTGTTTTCGGAATGAAGAAAAGATGTTAGGATTCCTAATTATTCATCTAATTCGTGTTTAGATTTAAGAGAGGGGCTTTACCAGCCAGGGGTCAGCAATAGGATGCAAGAAGTGCATACAGCCCCCAGCCAGCTCCCAATATATAATCTGCAATCATAGACTCTCGCTTGACTCAGATAGGCATAAAAAGGCATTCAGGTCAGGAACACCCCCCAATGAAGGATCACGGGAGGTGTTGCGCTGTGCCAGGGGGGTGCACGCAGAAACCCCAATCCGTTAGAGAACACTTTACCGGAACCCTGCGCAGGACGCAAGTCCCCTGATCCACTAAAAGGGTTTAGGGTTTAGGGTTTATGCCCCCATGAAGAAAGCGCGAAAGAAGCTTTAAGGAAACCCCTGTCATCTGCGAAGTAGCTGTCGCAACTCCCTGAGTTCTGTTTGTTTGCCAAGCTCGCTACCTGTGAACATCAACGCCTGGTCCGAAAAGCATTGCTCAATCTTTTCGGTACTTCTGGAAGTTAGCTAGTCTTATTCAAAGAGGTTGAATTTGTAAGACCGCGAGTAGTGGGGAAGTAAAGAGTTAGCCGACAGTCATGTCTGACTATTCGACCAAGCGTACCAAAGCTTGGCAACCCCTAAACCCTAAACCAACCCTAAACCCACCCTAAACCCTAAACCCTAAACCCTAAACCCTAAACCCTAAAACCCTATGAGCCTTAAACCCTGCTCCCTAGGCTCCCTACACGTAGACAGCCAGTTCCAAGTTCCCTGACGAGAAGCTTCGTGAGTGATCCTGCAAATTGGGAAGTCATGGCGCAGCAGCCAAAGGCAGAAACGGTTTAGGATTTAGGCTTGCGGCTTAGGGATGTTTGGGGGTAGGGTTTAGGGATGTTTCTGGTTTAGCGCTTTGGGATATTTAGGGGTTCGGGTATCCCAAGCTCCTGTGTACCGGCTCATGGGCCAGTCCTAAGTCTCGGTCATCAAGTACCCGGAAGACTGAAAACTGAGCCATCGCAGCAACGGTTTTGGGTTTAGGGTTTAGACTTTAGGGTCTTAGGGCAATGGTACCCTAAACCCTCAACCCCCCCCCCCCTAATAGCACTGTGCAGCAAAGTAGTCATCTTGTTTGCTCCTGCTGTGCCTATATCAGGTCTCAGTGCCCGCGCCCCAAACCAAACACTTGCCTTAAGTGTCCATGTACCCAGATATTATAGATTTTGGCATCATTGAAGTAGTCCCGATATAGGTACTTCGGGGCCAGGGTATTTTCTGTTTGGGTAGAGGGACCCTCAGGGTTACAGTCGTTCTTGATTGATTCCAAGCTGTTTTGCTAAACCCCGAAGTTCAATGCCGTTGACTGCCCTAAGCCCTAAACCCCTAACCCCTAAACCCTAAATCCCTAAACCCTAAACCCTAAACCCTGACCCGAAAGCCGTCCTAGTTACCTCAAGAACGCCTTAGAACGCCCTTCTTGAAGTCCTAATGTAGGGGCCTAAATAATTACCAATGCTAGTTTGGGGGTTCCTTATGAAAACCATAGCATAATGGGCCCCAGAACCCTATTTTAATTATTACGGCCCCTATATGAAGTTTCCCTGAACCCGAAACCCTAACTGAAGTCGAAAGTTGCAGAAACCCACCAGACGAGGATCGCAGTGTTTTGGTGACACGACTTCATGACAGAGGCTTTCAGGCACAGTGGCCTGGGCTTCCACATGTAGCTTGTTGATAAGATTCGGCTTGGGGCTTAAGGATTTTGGGCTGAGCCCTAAAACTGAACCTAAAACCCTGCACCCTAAAGGCCCTAAAGCCTAAACCCTAGCAGCTTAGGGTGCTCCGGTTCCGGTTTCAACCGAGCCGGAGCAATTTGGGCTGTCGACTACGCCTTTTCAAGGGCTACTTCCCCTAAGGGTCCAGCTAGCCATGATTTAAGGACTTTGGGGCCTATTTGGGTACTTAAAACCATAAATAAGGACTACTTGAACACTTAGGGTTCGGCAATCGCTGCCCACATGCATAACCTTCATTTCATCTAGTCTAGATGAGGATTAGGGTAGCTCTTCTAGCAGAAGAGCGGTTACAGCAATCTTGTGCCTATTTCCATTTAGGTTTGAGCGATTTGGATTTCGGGTGCATAACCAGCCTAGTAGTAGAGCAGGTAACCTTTAATCTTCTTTGGAGGAGGGTACTACAATCAAAAATATACATATATATATATATATGGTATATATATATATATACACAGCAATATACTCCCAAAGGCTATCCCTTAGTTCCCCAGGATACTGGACAAGTAGGCAAAGGTGTAGTATGGCTGTTCTCGTGTCGACCCCCCTCCCCACGGAGCCGGCCGGGGGATAACCCGGATGCCTGGATCTGTGCATGCATGCATGCATGCATGCATGCATGCATACACGTACAAATACCTATACCCATGCACATGCATATGCATACATACATAGATAGGTACACACGTAGATGCATACATGACGACACACACATACCTGCATACGAACATTTTCGGCATTTCATTGCGAACAGTGAGGTACGCCGCCTAATTAAAGTGCATTCGAAGCCAGCGCCTGTGCGAATGGCAGTGCCATCTTGCTGGCTATGAAGGACTGCGGTGCCTCAAGGCAAAGCCTATGTCCCTCAAAAGTAGCCCGCCACGCCGTAGCGAGGTAAACGGGCAAAAGGCTCAGGGCGTCGCTTGCCACGGCCGAAAGGTCTTTGTCTTTGAGTGCCGTGAGCCATTCGGCTTCCCAGCTCACGGGCACCTTTACATGTACAACAGACCGGGTCCCGTGTCTAAGCCTATCTCCTAGGAGGGAGCCCCAATCAGTAGCCTCGAGATCGGTCTTGAACTCCTGGAGTGTGGCCACCCGCGTGCTCCCTTGCTTCTCGGCTGGCCTCCAGATATCATCCCGGCTGCGGTGGATGCCGTCGAGGACGGCTCTCGCGTGCTCCGGGGCCCATAGAGCATCAGCTTGATCCTTGTGCAAGTCGTCGATGTCCTCTTCAATGCGGACAAGGATTTCGTCTTCCTCCTGCTGGTAGAGGGGGTACTTGGCAAGGATCTTGTTGATGACACAGGCGGTCGTCTCTTCGTACGGTTCCGCCGCCTCGTCCTGGATCGCACCGCAGAGATCTTGGTAGGCCTCCACGACAGTAGGGTGCCAAGTAGGATCAGCACCCGGATGCTCCCGTGCTCCGTCTCGCTCCGGTACAGCAGGCGTGTACTGGTCTACATCGGCCTTTCGTCGTGCTCTGCTGCCAAAGCCCGGTGCGATGTTGCGGGCTCTGCTCCCAATCGCTTGTAGAGCACCGACACAAAGGGGGGCCGCTCGAAGATGGGCGGCAAGCCTCCCCTCCGACCAGCATTCTGTCCCACAAGCACCGCATCTCGTGCCCTGCGCGTAGATCCTGTAGGTGGCCACCCTGCCATGCGTTTTGAAGTGGTGCACGCTGAGGCCAGACTTGGCTGCAAAGCCGAGTTGGCATTTTCGGCATCGCCATGTCACCACCCGTTCACCGTTCCTTGTGTCCGCTCGTAGGGCCTTGGCCATGGCCCACAAACACAAGTCGATGGCTGCAGGGAGGATTCTCTCCTCCTGTTCCTCACTCAGTCTGCGCCTGACAGCGCGCTTCAGCCTCTGCGGTGAACTGCGGAGGATTCGCCACCATTCAGGCCACGCCTGTGGCCGCAGGGGTGGCCATTGCTCCTCCCGACGTCGGACAACCCAAGCAAGGTCCTCCCTTATCGTGGCCATCCATTCCTGTTCTTCTTGGAGAACTCCCCAAAGAAGACCCGGGGCGGCCTTCACAAGGGAGACAAGGAGGCTGAGCCGCTGTCGTCTGGCGATCAAGTCCAGCGGCAGGCACTTGGTGACCCAAAGGACCATCGCCAGGGGGATCTTAAAGAGGAGGTCATGCGCAATGTTCCGGGTCAGAAGCCTTCGCGCGAGACTGGCGTGCCCCGAACAGAGGTTTTCCCATGTTGGGCCATGGGGCCTCCATAGGGCAAGGTTGAAGTAGGTCGTGGTCACCGCGATTTCGAACAGGGCCACCCTGGTTGGTAGCTCCAGATCCCTGTTGTTCAGCAGGAGCTTCTTCGCAGTGTCATAGGCCTGCGAGGCTATGGCCAGGCGGTGTCGCGCCTCAGGGCGGAATGACAGCTTGAGGTCGATGATACCTCCTAGGTGTCGGTACTGGCTCACGGTGGGGATTTCCAGGGCCAGGTCGGGGATGGCAAGGGCCGCCTTGCCCTTCGGAAAATGTCGCTTCCTTGCCGTAGTGGACCCGGGGCCGCGCAGCTGTATCATGTAGCTGGTTTTTCCGGGCTTCACGTTGGGCTGCATTCCGTGGGAAGTCAGGATGCCGAGCACAAGTGCTCCCACTCGACGGGCTTTGCGAACAAGCCTTTCAGGACACCGATCTTCAACCACATAGGCAGAATCGTCTGCCCATGTAGCATCCCAGGCCTGCTCGAGAGATCCGCCTTGCCCAGTGGGGAATACTCCGGTGTCTTCTTCCCATTCGACCGCGAAGTTGAGCTCCTCCGCAACCAGGTGCTCATGCACGCGGTACAGCACGCGGCTGTAAATGAAAGCGTAGATGACGTCCGCGAAGGATTCCCCCGGGCGGGATCCTGCCTTGGACCAGCAAAGGTCTCCTCCGCCATGGTATGAGGTGACAAACCAGGTCCTCAGGTTCAGATCCTTTATCGCGTGCCTAAGCTGGCTGTTGACCCCTGCTTCAGCAAGCATGCCCCCTCGGGAGATCGTAGTCATCATGTCGTGGAGGTCTTCTTCGTCCAAACCAAAGGCTCGAAACAGCGCTATGACCTGGGCGTCGCTGTCAATGCAACCTGTTGCCAAATCCCTGACGACCTTATAATAGGCTGCCTTGGTGTCGACGAAGAGGGTGGCACAGCTTCGGCCGACACGCGCCAGCTTGCGGAGGGCCGCAATCACAAAGATCCCGGGGAAAGCGACAGGGGCTGCTTGTCGAGTGCTGCAATGAAGTGGGTGCAGTAGCTGCTCGACCTCTGGCCCGATCAAAGTCCGAAGGGTCTTGTGGTAAGATTTCCCCAGGAAGGAGGAGATGAAGAGGCTGCGGTAGTTCTCAACAATGGTATGGGTGCCATTATTCTTGAAGGCCTCACACAGCATTCCGCCCCTCCATTGAAGCGGCTGGGCTCCGGTGAGCATGGACTTTAGATAAAGGGGCTGCAGCATGGTGGCGAGGATAGTGGGCGCGATGGACAGCAGGTCGCTAGGTATGCCATCCAGTCCGCATGCTTTGCCCCGCGGTGTGCGGCGGAGCACCTCCTCGATGAGGGAGAGGCTTGGGAGGTCACTGCATTGCCAGGTGTACTCGTCGTCCTTCTGGCAGCCCACCAACTCGGTGATGAATTTGTCCACTTTCATCCTCTCTCCCATCTCCTGGTCGCCAAAGTAACGTAGCCAGATGTCGTCCCGCTCTTGACGGCTGACCGCTGGCTGGTCCGTGGTGGGGTTCATGAGGGCAGGGAGCGGTCGGCGGGTAGGTTGTGTCCGCCTTCCCCCAAAACCAGCCTTCTTGACCCGCCGGAGGATTTGTATCACCCCCTGGTGCCCTTCAGTGGCGATCTTACGCATGGCGTCATTCTTGGCCACGTTGAGGATCTTCTTGACGCGGTGCGTCGCCACATTGATGGCGGCGGACGCCAGGTGGTAGAGGAAGCCTTCTCTCTCAACCAAGTAGGCAATGGCAACGTCGTAATCCTCGTCCCTTTGCCATTGACGGAAGGCTCGGCAAACTGCATCATTCCACAGTTGTCGTCGGTGTCGGACTCGAGCTTTGAACTTGTTCTTGGTCAGGCGCAGGTGCCAGACTTCGTCCGGGATGTAGCTCGCCCGACGTTCCACACTGCTGGCAGGGAAGGTGTTCGCCAGCGTCTCCGCCAAGAAATTTTGGAGGCGTTGACAATGTTGGTCCACCGACATCTCCCAAGTGGGGTGGACATAATACTCCGACAAGGCCGCATGTAGGGCGCATCGTCCTTCGGGGGTGGCCATCTTTTCCCGATCATAGCGGGGGCGCCATAGTCTTTGGCCCTCCCGAGTGTCCTCGAAGGTGCCCTGGCATTGGACCTGGAGCATGTAGTGGTCCACATTGGGGCTGCCGTTGTCAAACTGGTGATTGATCCAGCTGCTGGTATGCCCCGGGACGGCACGGCCACCCAGGACAATGTAGTCAATGCGGTGGCACGTACCGGATGGGTGGTGGTAGGTCTCGCTGTCGCCGTCGTGGACGCGGTCAAACGAGGAAGGGATCCACGCTCCGATGTTGGCGAGGCTGTCGACGAGGGTCCAGCCTGCATCATCGGGTTCCCCACACTCCACCGAGCCTGTCACTCCTGCATAATTGGCAGGTATCCTACCATTGAGGTCAATCCCCATGACTACCAGGGCCGCATTCTTGACGGCACACAGTTGTTCACTGAGGGTCTTGAGGAAGTGGGCTCGCTCTCTGGGTAGGCTTGTGTGCGGGCAATGTCCGGCGACCATTGCAATCTTTCCGCTGCCCGTCGCCACAGTGATAACGAGGAGCCTTGGTTCCTGGTGACGCACTGCAACGTCGGCCTCCTGCGGGACTATCGGGCGGCCCCCCACTGCTGTGGCCAACCCGAGGCTACGGTGCAGCCAGATGGCAACTCCCCAGTGCTTATCAGAGTAGCGCAGGTCCCACCGGCTGCCTTGGTCTCCTGCATGAAGACGACGTTGAGGCCAAGCTGATCACACTGTTCCTCAACATAATGGTGATGGCCACTCAAACCTTGAATATTGACTGTGGCCGCACATAGGGCGAACTGGGCAGGGGCCTCTTGGCTGCCATGTGCCGCCGGGCCCACTTTCACTGTGGGGATGAGTTCCTGCTGGGTCAGGTTGTAGTCCTTGGGGTGGCTCTCACTCCATTGCAGGGCACCATTGTGAATGGGCAGGGTTCCGGTACGTCTCGCCAGCAAGGCAGTGGTGACCCAAGCCAGGTTCTCCTGCTGGAAGCATTGGATAGCCGGAAGCGGCGGCCCATCAAAAGCGTGGGTGCCTGTGGACGCCGTACGGGCAATGGCATCCGCGACCTCATTCCAGGTGTTGCCGCAGTGTGCTTTTACATGCTCCATGACTGTATGCGCACCCGAGGCTTCGCAGGCCAGCATAGCCAGCTCGTGGACACGCTCGCCATATGGATCCGGGGGAGCCCATTGGCCGCTCATCCCATAGCCGGCAGCCAAACAGTCGAAGCGGAAGGTGCAATCCATCATCGGGTGCACACTCCTGAATTGCAGGAGCCAGAGCAGAGCTGCCGCCAGGGCTATTTGTTCCGCCCGGAGGGCATGCGTCCCTTGGGCTTCCTGTAGGTCCCAGGGGTTGTCCTCATTGCCCAGAAGTGGCCTCGTCAGCTGAGCCATCGGTGTAGATGAGGACTTCATTTGCTGTATCCTTTCCGCCCCCAAACATAAGTTCAGACCAGTGGCTTGTGGCCTCGACTGCCGCCTTGAGATTGTCCGGGAGCTCCAGGTTGGTCAGGTTCGGCTGCATCCACGTCGGGCTCCACGGACGGAAGAACTCCCGCATCCTGTTCCAGTCATGCGGGAATTGGAGCGTGCTGGCGGTGAGGTCAAAAGTGGCCGGGGGGATCTTGTCAAATAGCTCGATCGTGGGCTTGTCGGCCGCCTCTCGGCCTTCAGGACGTCGCGGGGACCGGCTGCGGTTGACCGGTGTCGGTCGCGGTGGTCCGCGACGAGGCGAGGCGGTGCCTGGCCTCCTATCAGTGGAGGAGCTTGACTGCATATCGCTGTCAGATTGCCCCGTACAGTCACTTGTGTCGCCGTCTCGGTCCGTAGCCTCGTCCTCGGAAGTAGATGAGGAAGGGGCCATGTGGAACTCAATGAGTTCTCCGTCCCTTATATGCAGGAGGTTCTCCGCGACCGGCTCCCCTCCGCGGATTTCCAAAGTCCACCCCGCAACCTCTGGGAGCTGGAGGTCCTCGTAGTAGGCGACGGGGTCGAAATAGTCTCCCGGCACACGGACCCACTGGGAGAAGCACCCCAGGCCACGTAGGTCCAGGAAGGCGAAAGGGGCGTCATCCGGCCAATCCTTGTCCACCACCGCAACGGTGTGGTCAATGTGCCTGCCAGCATGTGCTAGTTTGAAGATCTCTTCAACGGGGAACTTGACATAGCGCATGCCGGGGAAGAGTTCAGCAGCCACATCCGTCGGGGTTGCGGTTTGTTCCGGGTCGTCCTCATGAACAAGTTGGTCTTCCGTAGATTGGTAGACGGTGAAGTCGCCTTCTATGGGCTCTGGTGGGACACATTCCGGGTCCCAGCGCTCATCATTTCCGAGGCGGTCAGCCAGCTCGTCGTGCCATTCACAAACTTGACCGCGAGGGAGCGCTTTGAGGACTCCGCCCGGTACAGCAGGGACAGGATGTCCAGGAAGGAGAGGGAGCTGGCTTCCGAAAGGATAGATTTCCAGCTCTTCTGTGTCGAAGTCTTCAATGTGCTTCAGCACCGCTTCTTTGTTGATCGGGCCCTCGTGATAGAAAGAGAAAACAGGGCCGTCAATCCCCCTGGCATCTATCACCATGGCTGTTTGGCCCACTTGCGCGAGCCAGCTGGGGAATGCAACGAAACTCGAATGATCCCTTCCCAGCTGGGGCTTGGTGTCCACTATCTCGTCCGCCCAGGCCGGTATGACGGAAACAGATTCCCGCAGTGCTTGGCGAATGCTGAGCATGTCCAAGGGGAACTCCATCTCGATGTCAATGACCTCCGCCTGGTAGAAGGGCGTGGTTATCCAGTGGGTCACGTGGACATCGAAGCGCCCATCAATGACCCTTATTGGCACGTCGTCCTCCATTTGGGCCTGGTTCGCGGTCAGCGGGGCATGGAGGTTCAGCGGAGGGGCCTCTCCTATTGATCTCGTGAGCGGCCTTGACCATACAACCTCGTCCCAAGCCTTGGCCTCCTGTTCACGTGTAGTCAAAAGCCCACAGCTCCAAAGTTCGATGTCCGTGGGCCTCGGGACCGTTGTCGTCCAGCGCCTGTTGTTGGTTCGCATCGCTGCGGCCTCTTGGGCCACAAAGACTGCCAGGCACAGCTTCCCGAGGGGGCCTCTGAGGGCACGATTGCGCCCCCTTGCTGCTGCAAGAAGCATGATCAGCAGTGTCCCCAGGTGGATAGCTAGCAGCGTGCGCATGGCCCCCTGAGCCGTCAGACGGAGAGCAGCCTCTGCACCGAGGAAGGCCTCCTCCAGAGCTTCCGTCCCCTCCTTGACTACATCGAGGATGTCGTAGAAGACAGTGCGCCGTTGAGGAACCACACCGCTGGGTCGGACGTGGTCTCCCGAGGGACCGTGCCACCCAGTCAGTGGCGCATGGGCTTCAGCGGCTCGCTTGGGGGCTTGAATAGCCCTGTCTTGCCAAGCCCCACATGTTGCAGGGTCCCCGGTCCGGCCTCTGCCTCCAGGATGTACCGAAACTTCTCCTGGGGGATATTTATCTCGCTCAGGACGAGGAGCGGGATCCCATGGGGGACGATGGCAATGCCATTGGCAATGACTTTCTTGGCCGCATCTTATAATCCCGCATGTGTCGACGGGCCGCTGCCTCATAACTCCGTATGAGCTTGCGGCACCGTCGCAAAATTGCTGTGGGGCCCGTCCAGGGTGACAAGCAAGATCCCGTAGAGGTCGCAGGCAGCGTCGCCATCCGCAATCTCCGCGTCCGCCATCACCCCGTTGGGGGGCCCTTGTCGGCCAAATGCCGCTCATATTTCTGCCCGGGGCCCCTCCTATTCCACATCTGTGCCGAGGGGGGCCTCTTTGTCCACCTGGCGTAGGTTGGCGATGCGGGACTCTTCGTCGGAGTCGTCGACCTCCTCCGTCTCCTTGGTTGCCTCCAAACGCTTCTCTTCGAGCTTCTTAATTGGTGCATGCCCGCACCGGTTCCTGAGGCGTGGGGTTTCTGCCCAAGCACTTGACCGGTGTCCTGGCAAACCGGGGCCTTGATCTGGAGGCGCTTCGGGCGGTAGTCGGCAAGGCACTTGCCGTTGACGGGGAGTTCATGTACGGGTCCTTGGGGAGGCCGCTTTCGCCGGTGGCATCGGTGATCATGTCCTCGCCTTCGCGCTGCTCCTCCTTCTTGCTCTTGTCGGCAGACTTGTCGCCGGGCGGTGTGGTGTCTGTGTAGGTTCGGCGTCTTCGCGGGGGAGTTGCTGGTGCACCACGTCGCCGATGCTCGTCTAGGACTTCTAGGAGCCGGGCTCTGCCCGCATTGCCACCCATGTCGTTGCTGAGGGCTTCGGCCAGCAGGTTGGTGAGGCCATCGCTTCTGTCCGTGGGCGGCCCAGTCAGCAGCTGGGCGAGCTCTTCCCTCCGTTTGGTCGGGCTCCACCTTGGTCTTGCGCAGGCGGCCCGGGTTGGAGATGGAGTCCCGCAGCTCTTGGATGGCCTCGTTCCGTAGTGCTTGCATCTCCTCCATGTCCGCCGCGAACTTGGTCGCCTTGTCTTGGTATTTCTGGCGTTCCTTGAGGAAACTCTCTTGGAGGGACTTCTTGAACTCGTCCCATTTCGCGTCGGTCTCGGTCTTCATCTCCTCGATCTTGCGGGCTCGGCCTTCCGCCTTCCTGAAGTTGTTCAGGCTCCTCTGGACGCTCTTCATGTAGTCGCCGACCATGGGCGCGCCGGCATCCACTTCCATGATGTCCGCCGTCCGGCGGGCCTGCTCTTGGCGGGGCTTGGGCTTCATCTCCTCGAACCCCGGAAACTGGTTGTGGCCTTCCGCTGGGGCATTCCACGTTCTCCGGCCTGTTGGCGGGTCCCACTTGCCAGAGCCCTTGTGTCCACGCGCTGAGGACGATGCAGCTGATTGCTGCCAGTCCCATCCTTCTGCTGCTCCGTTCTGCCATCCTCCCCAGCGACCTTTGCCTCGGCCGCCCATCAACTCCCGGAAGGCCGGCTTGGTGTGGCGCGCCGCGAGGATGCGGAGTGCACGCGATGGCGGGGGCCTTCCCTCGGCCCTTGCACCGTGGACTGCACGTCGCAGTCTTGACCGTTTCGCCCGTAGGCGACGATGCCAGGGAGGCGAGCGAGGAATGGCTCGCACGTGCAACTTAGTGCACTGGGGTCAAAGGCAATGCTCACTACGGGAGCTCGATCCCAGATCCCTACATACGAACATACATACATACATACATACATGCATACATACATACATACATACATACATACATACATGCATGCATACATGCATACATACATGCATACATACATGCATACATACATGCATAAATGCATACATGCATACATGCATACCTGCATACATACATACATACATACATACATACATACACACATACACATATACATCTACGCATACATATACATATACATATACATATACATATACATATACATATACATATACATATACATATACAGAAATATGTACATATTCGTATATATATATACACCTTTACATAGGCATAGGCATAGGCATAGGCATATACATATACATATACATATACATATACATATACATATACATATACATATACATACAGAAATACATGCATACATGCATACAGAAGCACACACAAATACAAGTACATAAACATGTACAGACACATCACACGTTCCTGCGTCTGTACGTTCGTGCATATGTTCATCCGTGTGTACTTGAAGTAGTGTTGGTTTGGTTGATTTGTGTCAGTATCCAGGACTTCTACTCTGATGAACAAGTGTTTCAGGCTTATTGTGCAGATGCTAGAAATTACAGATCCTATGAACAACTGTAAGAGCGCGTCGTACTGATAGTTGTCAACGACTTCCAACTTGTCATATTATGCTACAGGTCATACAGCTGTGGCCACGTAGTCTCCTTGTTCCTTAAACTCAGTGATGTTGTACATATAGGCCCTGGAACCCCATGATGAATCCTAAAGCCTCAATGTTTAACTAAACCTCAGAGTCACCCCTGAACCCTCACTCTACCTTCTCCCCCCTAAAAAAACTAATCGTCAAGACAACAACAGCAACGAAACCCTAAACCTAAACCCTAAANNAACCCTAAACCTTAAACCTTAAACAAGCAAATAACACCTTCCTCTTCTCTCAGACGGTCGAGCCCTTGAAGTGCGCCGGCCACGCGTGTATCTTCCGCGTCCGCCAGAGCCTCGTGGGGTGGGGGGGGGGGGGGGG